GTGGTAGTGTGTATTATTATTATGTGGTGGTTTGAGTAGCGTGTGTTATTATGTGATGGTTGTGAGTAGTGTGTGTTATTATGTGATTATGTTTGTAGTAGCGTGTGTTGTTATGTGATGGTTGAGAGTATTATGTGTTATTATGTGATGGTTGGTAGTGTTTATTATTGATGGTTGTGGTGGTGTGTTATTATGTGATGATGGTTGTGAGTAGAGTGTGTGTTATTATGTGATGGTTGTGAGTAGCGCGTGTTATTATGTGACGGTTGTAGGTAGCGCATGTTATTATATGTGATGGTTGTGAGTAGTGTGTTATTATGTGATGGTTGTGGGTAGTGTGTTATTATGCGATGGTTGTGAGTAGTGTGTTATTATGTGATGGTTGTGGTGAGTGTGTTATTATGTGATGATGGTTGTGAGTAGTGTGTTATTATGTGATGGTTGTGGTAGCGTGTGTTATTATGTGATGGTTGTGAGTAGTGTGTTATTATGTGATGATGGTTGTGAGTAGTGTGTTATTATGTGATGGTTGTGAGTAGTGTGTTATTATGTGATGATGGTTGTGGTAGTGTGTTATTATGTGATGGTTGTGAGTAGTGTGTATTATGTGGTGGTTGTGAGTAGTGTGTGTTATTATGTGATGGTTGTGAGTGTGTGTGTTTTATGTGGTGGTTGTGAGTAGTGTGTTATGTGATGGTTGTTAGTAGTGTGTTATTATGTGATGGTTGTGAGTAGTGTGTTATTATGTGATGATGGTTGTGAGTAGTGTGTTATTATGTGATGGTTGTGAGTAGTGTGTTATTATGTGATGGTTGTGAGTAGTGTGTTATTATGATGATGGTTGTGGTAGCGTGTTATTATGAGCGACAGACATAGCTTTATGAGATGTTTACCACTGTTGTTGTCGTCCAGGTTACATCATCAAGCGGGTGAAGGTCAGGGTGAGATGTGGGTGAGGGTGAACCTGGTGCCCATCAAGGACACTGAGTACGCGGTCGCCAACCTCATCGGTGGCCGGGAGTACCGCTTCAGGTGGGTGTTGGCTGCCTCATTCATCCCTTGGTCATCCTTAAACGTATACTGGATAGTGTTATGTTCTGTGTGGGAGCGAAGAGTGTGTTGGTGTATGGACTGTACTTGTTGTTGCTCCCTTCATGAACGTTATAGGTGCTGGTTAGATTAAGTCATGTTGAGGAAATTTAGTGTCAGTTTCCCCACGTTGAGTAGGTACTGGCTGCCTCCATGGTACACCGTAAGTATTGAGTATTTTTAGTTATGACCAGGAACAATCGGACCAACTTTAGCTTATCAGGGAAGGTGGTGGTTGCCTATCTTGAACACCTTATATATAGCCGGTAGTTTAAGTTCTGCTGGGAATAATAAGAGTCTCTAGCCTGTCAGGAAGATAATTGTTGTCTTTCTTGGAATAGTTAAAGTTAATGGGTTTTATTTAAGTACAGTAAAGACCACCAAGTCATGTAATGAAGGTGTTGTTACCTTCCTTACTGATACCCTGTAGCAGAATCTAGATACAGGTAGTTTTAGACATGCAGAAGAACTCCAGATTCCACGTATTTGAAGGCAAGGGACAAGGGTGACTATCACTGTGCAATGGGAGGCTTAAAATAATGGCGTAATGGCGGTGTTAATGGTAAAATGTGAGGGTGGTTACGGGGTGTTGAGCTCCTCAGTATGACAGGACGAGGTGGTGCTCCATCTGGCAGGAGTGAATTATTTTGTAACTATCTCGTGGACTGAGAACTTCGACATAATACAATATTTATTGTCTTGAGGTTTAGAAAGACAGTTTACACTGATGGGATCTGAGCACTTCAAGTGTAGTAGACTGAGACAGGACAGCCAGCAGCAGTATCTGGCAGGAGTGGCCAGAATGAATGGCTTGGCTTACTCAGAGGTATTTCGAGAAGCGAGGTGGCCAGCTGGTGCCGGGGGAAGAGGTAAAACCTAAAGTAACTCAATGACTTCCCTGTTTTAACTTAGTCTGGGTTTATGTTGGTTGTGTTTATTTGTTAACTTAGTATACCTTAGACAGTTATAGAAGTTGCAAAATGTCTAAAAGATCAGGTTTTGTTCCATAGATGTTGAATTAATGATGTACTGTATAAACTTTGTCACATCTTGTTTCAGCTCAAGGGTTTACTGGTTGGTTTTACGATACAGTATGTTAATTTTTGCCGTCCCTTATCTTAGAATACTCATATATTTGACTGATAAGTTTGTTTTGCCCCTCACTCTCCCCCGACCCCCACAGAGTGTCAGCAGAGAACGCTGTGGGCATGTCTGACCCATCCCTCCCCTCAGAGATAGTCAGCATCTCTACTGACCAGGAGGCCACCGAACCCCACTTCCTCAGGAACTGAGATGCCATCGCAGTGGAGAGCCAGAAGGTAGGAAACTCACCTGCTGACTAGATTCACAAGATGTTGTGAATATTAGGAGAAAAGAAGTGTATTTTTATATTAAGATGTTCTAGTTTCTTCAACACATTGAGGTGGATTGCATCATGTTTGAAGATATTCTAGTTTGATATGGCTATACCACGTACACAAAGCTTCTGGATTTAGAAAACTATATACAGTGCTACATAAATTGTTTTATTGATCTTGTTAATAGATGTCACTCTTCCAGGTCGAGTTTTCTGTGGACATCATCGGCACACCGCTGCCAGACATCACTTGGTACAAGGACGGTTTTGAAGTGTATGACACAAGACGCTTCTGAGTTCCGTGTGGAGGGAGATCGATACACGCTGGTGCTGAAGGAGGCGAAGCTCACGGACGAGGGGGACATCAGAGTGAGGGCCACCAACCGTGTGGGAGTGGCCTCCCTCAGGCTACTCTCAGGTGGAGGGTAAGTAACGACCTAACATAGGCTTCAGGGTACGCCGTCCATTTTGACCCTGGGTGATTCTTGAGTTTATGGGGAGGTTCATGTGTTGTAACTTGTGTAAAACTGCTCAGTCATAATACTACTCTTACGTACAGTATATTGTATTGTATTCATTCTGTCGTTTTGATACTTTTGCTTCACTCGCTGGTCTTCTAATGGTGGTAATCAGTATACTTTAACACCTTGAATATAATGACTTAACTCCTTGAGAATATTATGGCAAAAAATATTCAACACTAAAAAATTTGGGTAAAAGAAGGCTATTTTAGGCAAAAGAGGGTTTATTTATTGAAAATACCCCTTGATATGTAAAATACCCTTTTTTGGACATGTTAGTGTTTATTGCTATCCATAACTATACTAAGTTGATAATGGTTCTTCAATTATCGCTTGCGGGTAAATCTTTTCCTTTCTGTCCTTAGATACGAAATACTTGAATATAACATTTAATGTTTACTGAAACATCAATAACCATATTTTTAATTAACGACTTAAAACAGTATTTTATTATATAGCAATACAATCAGTTTTATTGCCACATGACATAACTGCTCATGTAAATTGCCAGATACCGCTTCCGTCCACCAAGAGTTTTGGCGACACAACACTGCTTCCTGAATAACTCTGTGTTAGCTGAAAAAAGTTATTTTAGATTGAAATTATTTCTGATTAATTACATGTGCTACTTGGGTCATCTGAGCAGAATATAATGATGATGTATGGCGAAGAGAAGATGGAAGTTGATGATGCTCATTGGCTGACATAATTATCAAGTGATGATCTTCTGGGCCATCGTTTCATTTCACTGTTATTGTATTTTACACACTTTTTAATACACTCCACCCCTCTCCCACAGCCCCGCCTCAGGTCAGGCTCCCACCACAGTACGAACAAGGACTAATTTTCGATACAGACGAACTTATCCGACTACGAGTACCCTATACGGGCCGACCTCAGCCACAGGCCGCCTGGACCCCACAACGGCAAGGAGGTGGGTCTCTCTCCTTCAATGGTCAACCTAGTCATGCACTTCACCTGTCACCAGCATCATCTTTCATTTGCGTTATCTGTCACCACCCCACTTGTCACTGCCTTCTTTCTTATTAACACACCTACCACGTGTGTTAATTAAAGGTCCTCCTCCTTCAGACGAGTGATGACCGGCACACTATGGACGTGTCTGACAAGTACATCACTCTGAAGATCGCGGAGCCTGCAGGACGGACAAGGGCATGTACACCCTCAAGCTATCTAACCCACAGGAATGAGACCTCCTCCTTCTTCGTCACCGTCACAGGTCCTGACACTTGTATTTCTTGATATTAATAATACACATTAGTTTAGCTTTTTCTTTCATATATCTTGGTTTAGTTTCTACTGTACATTTCTTATATGTCTGCAGTTACTTGAATTTAGCAGTGTTGTATTGTTTTTGCTGGTCGCTGTTGACTATTGAGAACAATGTAGTGAATTTTTGGCCTTTGTTTCATGAAGGACTTGCAAACTCTTTAGTGTTGAGAAGCACCATCCAGGACCTGTTGCTCACGTCTTCTCACTGCACTTGAGATGGTTCTTTCCTATTTCACTTGGTCAGAGCATATTTTTTCGCTACATACCTTCGTTCACATCACCTTCTATCTGAGACTAACGACAACACACCCTTCTATGATCATTGTATTAAACTTTCTGATGGGTATTGGTGACCTTCAGACGGATGTATGTTTTGATTCTGACGTGACTATGACAGTTAAAGTATTTCCTCAGATCGACCGGACGCACCCAGCTTGCCCACCATCACAGACGTGTCAGGCACCTCGGTCACGCTGCGCTGGGACCCCCACTGGACGACGGTGGCTGTAGGATATCCAATTATATCGTAGAGAACTTCAGGTAAGTCGTCGCCAGAGTGATGTTTCCTTTTTCTTGTTTTGAGTTCACTGTTGTCATGACTCCTCCATTTGGGCTAACTTGATCATTCTTACACAGTATAGTATGAAGGCTCACTAAATCATATGCTCACTATATCATTCTGGCTCTTGAACTGAAGCTCGTTAGAAAGTATATCTCTTGTAATAGAGCTCACTGGATCAATGTGTGTTTCGTACTACAGCTTAATAAATCATCTTCTATGTAATAAATGTCTTACTCTTTAAATATCATATTCGTAAGAGTGTTGAATGGTTACATCTTATCATTCAACCAACAGAAACTTCAATTGTTTCTTATTATTAAACAAGTCATGGATATAAAGATGTGTATAACATATTGAGTTATTTACCACAGGTGGTTGGGATGTGTGGCTCAAGGCTGCATCCTCTCGCATCACTTGGACACAGCTCAGTGACCTCATCGTCGGCTCAGAGTATCGCTTCCGTGTCAAGGCTGAGAACGCTTATGGAGTGTCAGAACCTGGAGAAGAGTCTGACAAAATCCTCTTCGAAGAAGCTAAGAGTCCTACAGGGTACGAAAACCTTGGTACTAATGGGGGATGTTTATCCCCAACTGTGATCAGGGAAGCGCTCCTGAAAGGACTTGTGGGCACTCAGTTGATATTCAAGAGCTGTCTGCTCAATCTGGAATGATTATTGAAAGTGTGAGTCTAAAGAGCTCACAGTCTCAGTATGAGGAGCTGTTAAGGCTGCAACTTAGGAGATTAGAAACTTTTATTCTGATAATGATGATTCTGAGAACGACGATACACTAATACAGGAAGTGAGTGGAGAGGAAGACTTCAGTAGTTCAGATACAGAAACATGTATGTCTGAGCTTATGGAAGATCGATTTTTATCGAATAGGTCAGGTACACTGTCGCTAGATCAGTCCACCACCAGCCTGTTAGGACCACTTAGCCCTTATTTCATACACCCATCGCGGTTACTTGGGTCTGTTTCTTCTGGACTGAGTTAGGATTGTGAGTGGAGGATTAACTCCAGCACATTACTTAGACGATCAGGGCATTTCATCAGACAGCGATCACACAGGGACAATGAATTCTCCCTCAACGGAGTCATGTTGTACAGGAGAGAACTTTGTTGCCACAACTCATGTCTATCATTCATGGACGACGCCGAGTAACTCACCACTTACTCACAACTTACAATCCGCTGCCGAAGAGGAAGTGTTCGCAGACGATGAACGCTCCAACTAACACAGAACTTGTGAACATGGATGAAGCAGCTATGGGTCATTACTTATGGACAGGAGAAATGAGTCTCCGTAGCTGATCATGTAGAGGCGGATACATGTACAAATATGGCGGTGAACCAACAGATGAGCTTGAGTACTCCGACGTTGAGGACCCTGACGATGAAGTAAAGATAAGCAATCAGTTAGTAAGGATCGCTGCAGAAGATGGGTCACCTTCTTACCAGCGAGGATGGGGAGAGGTGAGGCAGCCATGATAGACCAAGCAGTGAGTAACGGGAGTGACAGTGGCTCAGATAATTGTGCAATAATGGACGTCTATAATGAGGAGTTACAGCAAGCCGGGTGATGAGGTCCTTCTGTAATGAGGCAGCTTCAGCTAACCTGGCTATGAGAGACGTCCAAAATGAGGGAATGCCAGCTAACCAGGTTATGAGGGCGTCCATAATGGGGAATGCCAGCTAACCAGGTTATGAGGGGTGTCTATAATGAGGGAATGCCAGCTAACCAGGTTATGAGGGGCGTCCATAATGAGGGAATGCCAGCCAACCAGGTTATGAGGGGTGTCTATAATGAGGGAATGCCAGCCAACCAGGTTATGAGGGGTGTCTATAATGAGGGAATGCCAGCTAACCAGGTTATGAGGGGCGTCTATAATGAGGGAATGCCAGCTAACCAGGTTATGAGGGGTGTCTTTAACGAGGAAACTGCAGCTAACCAGGTTATGAGGGACTTCTATAATGAGGGAACCGCAGCTAATGAGGACCTTGCAGTAGGCCAAGTAACAGGGAGTGTGAGGAACGCGACACCTACGTATGAAAAGTTTATGAGGAGTTATGAAGCTGCCGCAGCGAATCAGGGAATAAAGAATTTCAGTTGCGGAGAACCCTCAGTTCCGCAGGTAGGCAGGTATATCAGTAACGAAGGAGACGGAAGGAGTGAAGTAAGCAGGGTAGAGGACGGTAGGACTCCGGGTAGTGAGGGAGACATAGATAGTGAGATAAACAGCGTAGAGAATGAGGTAACGGCCGCAGGTGGACAGTGGACAACACGAGGCAGGATCGCAATTGCTAACCAGTTCAGAATTATCTGCGGTGGGCTAGCGAGCATGACCCATCTGGGGAACTTAAGTACAAAAAGAAGAACTAGTCACAATGAAGATGGCTCTTCTGATCGCTCGGGGAGAGTAGAGGATGATGACTCCTCGTGTAATTACTCGACTACCACACAAAATAGCAAGTCTTCAATCACGTCACTTGATACCGAGAGTTCTGAGAGAGATTTAGAGGATCAGTATAGGCAGGTGGTAAGTGATACACCTCCAGCCAATCAGAAGGGATTTTTCTCCTTAGGGGGATCTGCTGTAAATATATTACGAGGACTGAGAATGGAAAAATCAGCAGGTAACCAACAAGACGTGAGGAAGCAACAACTAATTCCTATCAGTGAACAAAATACATCTGGGGAGAAGAAGGTTGATGTTAATCATCGAGAAAATATGAACAGGAAAGGAACTGCTGTGTCTGGGGCAACACATGACGGCAATGTTGTTGAAATAAAGCCATTTAATTATTATAAAAGTGTCATTTCTCGTCACACTGCTGCGCTGAATGAAAACAAAGCTCATGCAGCAGAAATAATGGAGTATGGAGATACAGCAGATAGTCAGGGTAGTGTTAAAAACAACACGGTAATTGAAGCACACCGTCAGAGTTCATCATTGCAAAGTGAAGCTGCAGCCAACACGATTCAGGAAAGAGGTTCTCGTTCTGTAAGAAGAAAAGAAAAACCATCACGAGCTACAACTTTTGAGCGCTCGAGTGATCCAGTGTTTAATATAGGTCCAATTTCTTCCACGAGCACACAGAACTCCGAGTGTGGGGACTCAGATCACTTAACTGAGAATTCTCTTAGTATAAGTAATCAAGATTTTGATGAACTGTCATCTTGGGAGCCTAAAATCAACAAAGAAATTACAACCAGGATTGACCTTCTTGAAGATCTTGTGTATAGATGTCTGGAAAACGAAGACGTGACGATGAACACCTTGGGAGTGTCTGACAACGAGGGGTCGGCTTCTCCTTCACCCCTCGCTGTCTTGTCTCCTGTGAGCTGTGGTGCACGTGTGGACGTGAGACGTGGGGAACTGAAGGACTTGATAAGCGATCTTGGTGAGTTGGTCAGCAGTATGAATGAGAAAAGCAGAACACTCAGCGCTGAGAATGTGGCTAAGTTTTTTGAAAAGACGGCCAGTGTTGTGAGAGATCACTCACAGTCACCTGCCGTGCATCTCACAGGCGACCAGGCTGACAGCTCACGCCACAGCTCACTCCACAGCTCACGAACTCATTCTCTCAGTGAAGTTGAGTGGCTCATCGATGATTTAAATCACAGCAGCAATCCGGAAAACAAAGGAAATATCATAAAACCTTACGATCAAGTTCATATCCAGTCATCCATCTTGAATCGCATCACCTACCTGGACGATGTGATGAACCGGTGCCTGGAGAACGAGGACGTCACTCTCAACACACTCGGCTCTCCTGCGGTCTCACCACCTCCTGTACCATCAGCACAACCCAAAGAAAAACGTATCGACGCTAGTAAGATCGAGCTGAAGGATCTGATAGGTAATTTAGGGTCGATGGTGGATGATCTTGGCCAGAAGTTTAACGCCTACTTCCCAGAATAAACCTGGATCAAAAGTCCTAAATCAATTAATAGATTCACACGAAGAAGCTGTAGGTCCTCCGTCAGGGAAGTAAAAACGATGTTATATAATACTAAACACTGCCGTACTTTAAGGCTAGTGTGATAAAGCTCACTGATAAGACCTCCTGTTATATTCCCTCTAATTTCTCCTTCGTCTCCCAGGTTTATTGTCTCTCATCTCCACCATAGTGTCTCTCTTATCTCCACCATGGTGTCTCATCTCAGTTTCGTCACAGCTCCAGGGTACAACAATAATCATTCCAGGTTCAGTCAGCGTGGAGGATGTTTATACCGAGTGTTAAGTGGATGTGGCTGATGGTGAGTGATGTAGTGATATACTCTTAAGCTTTGACTGATAGATGTAACTGAAGTGAAGAATAATGTAGAATTAACAGAATATTATGATTTTAAGCTTTGTGAGGAGCTTATTTTTGTATTTAGTAGTATAGTATTGACATAGTGATATTATACTCAGAAAGTAGTGGTAGTGCTTTGATTACATGACTTAAGTGTGTTGTAGTAAATAGTGGTTAGTTGAAGCCTGTCACTCACTCACGCCTCGTTACTTATAACACCATTGGGTATAATTACTTAGAGATTTTACTACTTATGGCAGACCTTAGTGACACAGTAGAATGAATATGTAAATTACTGTACATGTTTACATAATTGATAGTACAAAATACATTCAAATTATCGATACTTTTTCTTTATAGTCAGGTTAAATTATTACCTTTTCTTAAGATACTGTAGGACACTATTTGACTTATGATTGATATAGTGAGTTATCGTTCTCCTGTCAATAGTACACACACACACACACACACACACACACACACACACACACACACACACACACACACACACACACACACACACACACACACACACACCAGCGAGGCGTGAGGGGACTGGCTAGCGGGATAAACCTTCCTGGCGGATGAGACATGTATACTGTATCAACTCGCACACATTCCTCAGTTACATCATGTCTTGCGAGGCCTCAGCTGCAGCAGACATTTATTTTGAGTTATTTTATGATTTATTTTGTTAATCATCCATTTTATTTCGTAGAGAACATGTAGAAGACATTAATGAATAAAGTAGATGTCATTATTTTAGTTATTTTTATTTGACTAATCCGTAGTACCCAAGTATGTACTCAGAAAGCTTACATTAACTGACTCACTCCAGTGTTTACATTCTCTCATCCGCCTTAACTGAGACATTTAACGGGGCCTTTTTCACAGCTCGGTATTCTTAGTGTTTGATAATAATTATTGACATCATCACAAAACTCTGAGTATTGTTGTGTTAAATATGCTTTCTGGGTATAATAAGTGAGTGCCGCCTCGCTGATACTCTGAGGTGGAGGGTGTGCGTGTGTGTCTGTGTGTGTCTGTGTGTGTGTGTGTGTGTGGCGGAGGGTGTGTGTGTGTGGTGGGAGGGTGTGTGTGTGTGTGTGTGTGGAGGAGGTGTGTGTGGCGGAGGGTGTGTGGTGGAGGTGTGTGTGTGTGGGTGAGGTGTGTGTGTGTGTGTGGTGAGGGTGTGTGTGTGTGTGTGTGTGGCGGAGGGTGTGTGTGTGTGTGTGTGGGTGAGGGTGTGTGTATGGAGGTGTGGGAGGAGGTGTGTGTGTGTGTGTGTGTGAGGGTGTGTTTTGTGTGTGTGTGGCGGAGGGTGTGTCTGTGTGTGTGTGTGTGTCTGTGTGTGTGGCGAGGGTGTGTGTGTGTGGGTGGAGGGTGTGTCTGTGTGTGTGTGTGTGTCTGTGTGCGTGGCGGAGGGTGTGTGTGTGTGTGGCGGAGGGTGTGTCTGTGTGTGTGTGTGGCGGAGGTGTGTGTGTGTATGAGGGTGTGTGTGTCTGTGTGTGTGTGTGTGAGTGTGTGTGTGTGTGTGTGTGGCGGAGGCTCTTAATTAAAGGTTGTATTAATTTAAAGGCTGTAATTTGTAACTATGTATAGAGGTTGTTAGTTATGTTAGAATATAGAAGATAGTGTGTGCACTGTGTGTTTCTGTGTGTGTACGTGGGTGATGATGAGTGTTAACAGACAATACATCAAAGACATTGTGAGAAGAACAAGTATGATTATTTCTTTTAGGGAATTATGGCTTCCAACACACCTGAGTTTTGTTCATATTTATGTTCAGGGTTTAAAGACACTGTTAACACGCACACACACACACACACACACACACACGCACACACACGCACACACACACACACACACACACACACACACACACACGCACACACACGCACACACACACACACACACACCTCGTGATAAAACCTCTTTAAGATTGAGCAAGTGAGAATTAATTACCAGATGCTGAAGGAAAGTGTAAAAGGGAAGAAGTAAGACACATGGAAGTGAAACGAGGAGTCAGTGAGGCAATGAGGAAGGTTGTTTAATATTTGGACTAAAACAACAGGAGGGTTTGGTTCAAAAGGTTTTATGGAAGGAAGTGAAACATATATATGGGTAAAGATATGAAAGTACAATGGGAAAATAATATGACTTGAGTAAATGATGATGTCACTGACTCTCTGAGTGACGGTAACTTGGATGACTTCTCTGGTAACCCTGAGTGACGACGTCTTAGACTCCCTGAGTGACGGTCTTCTCCCTGAAGGTCCTTCGAGTACGAGACCTACAAGTCCACCACCACCGTCGGCTCCTCGCTGCCCAAGGACTCTGCCATTTTGGTCAAAGGTCAGTCAGCACTGCACTATATTATACTTGTATATACTTAATTAAAGGGTTGATCTTAATATAATTTGTGAATGCCTTTATCTTAGAGGACTCGGATACTGTCAAGACATAATGGAAGTAGATGTTTGACCTCCTAAGTGACTCTCTCTCTTTATACAGGTGACAGCTCCTCCTTCGAGTATGGAGACTCTGGCGAGAGCTCAGCCGTTGGCTCCTTTGACAGTGCGGGAAGATCAAAGAACAGGGCACAACTCTTGGGTCAGGGCGCCTCAGACGAGGTTGAGTCCTCTCTTGCCAGCTCTAGTGGAGGACAGGAACCTTCCCTTGACCTTGGCAGCTCTAGCGAGAAACCGCCTTCCTTTGATTACAGTAGTTCTAGAGGGCCGTCCTTCGAGGTGCCCTCATCAGGGGAGAGAGGACCATCGTTCGAGGTTGAGTCTTCAGTAGACAGAGGATCATCCTTTGAAGTTGGATCTTCCATGGAACGTGGTGCATCTTTTGATTTAGAATATTCAAGACAGAAATATGAATCTTTCCAAACGGGAAGTTCAGTGGAACAGGAGAGTGGGTCAATGGACAGAGAAGTAGCCATCCAAGTCACGGGCTCGGACGGACGGCCCGTGAGTTACCTCCCTGTTGGAGGTTCTTATGAGCTGGCTTCGTCACTGGACCGTTGCGACCCCGCCGAGGATGATCGGTACCTGGGTATGAGCGACTACATTAGGTCCGGTGGATCTGCGGGAGGATCCCTGGACCTAAGTGGTTCAGCCGGTGAGTCAGTGGACCTTGGTGGTTCCTTAGATAGTGAGGAAGTTCCAATGCCACCGCCTCGCGTGCCCAGGAAGGGAGGCCGATCTCCTGCTGTGCCTCCTTCAGTATTGCCAGGTATGCTTACCAGCCTGAACCTACTGCATGATGCTGCACTCTTGCATGGTATTTTCAGTAAGATGATTCATACTGTAGTGAAGGCTTATATTTAAAAGAGGTGTAAGAATGTTTCATTACTTAAAACTTACTAAAACATTTTGCTAATCCTTTTTCAATTTTTAGTTTGGATTTATTTCATTGTATTACAGAGATAACTTCACTGGGCTGCTCCTGTGAGCGCCAACTAGATATTTTCTGTTTTAAAAGAACCTTAACACACTTTCTCATTTGTAGTTTATGCGTTTAATACACGAAGCAGCGATCATGGAGGGTTATGTAGATCTAGAGGCAAAATAAGGTCAGTCCTTCACTTAGTGTTGCTCCCGGGCATTCCTTCCACAGGAGCTAAACCCTCGGAAGACAGACCACCAGTCCCACCCCCGAGAAGGCGACGGTCCAGCGTGCACAGCTTCCTTCTCCACCCCTCAGCTCCTGACACCCACAACAACACCTCACACACCAAGAACGACATTTCCCTACACAGCATCAACATAGAGAACAGCACCAACAACACTAACACCAGGCCTCCCATCCACAGAAATGACACCAAACGTAACAAATCTCTTCACAACGGGAGTAACCACACCCTCCCATACAGCACTGACACTACCACCACCAACAGCCTCGTCCACGACCACAATGCGCAGGGCCAGAACAATGATCTCGGCTTCGAATTGTACGAAAAATGGGGTATTGTACCCATGCCAAGGCCCCCGTGTATAATAATGACAGTCAGACGAGCTAAACTGTAAACAAACATTCCTCTTACGTTCTTTGGACCAGAGTTGAACCAGTCACGTCCCACATGATAACGAAATCTCAAGCTTGTTCTGATGAAATTAACCAAACAAGTTAATTACTCCTGTTGTAACTGTAATAACTCAAGCTAAGTGCAAAACTTGTCATTGCATTTAACTGTTGAAAAGTTGAATATAGAGAAGAGTCAATGGTACTAATTGAGGACTAATTAAAATGCAAAATCGATCGTGCCCGGGAACAAGATGGGCCGTGATGGACTGGTCAAGACCCCCGTTGATCAACTCACTAAAGAACGTCACACTGAAGATGCCACAAACTTATGATATCTTGGAATGTTTGTGTTATGATTTTTTGTTTTTTTTTATAACTTTTTACACTTTTAGTACCTTTCAAAACTCCCTTTTTTGTGTATTTTAATTTAAGTTCTGCTGAAGACTTGATTGTGATGGCCCTGCGTGTATTATTATCATCATCATTATCCTGAGACAAATATTTAAGAAGGTGTGTTTTATTTTTCAATGTTTTCTTAATCCCTGTGTCACCCAGCCCCTTAGCATCAGCATGCCACTTAGGTTTTACCCTCACACGGCAATTTTTTCCTTCCCAATTTTAACATCGCAGAAACAAATTAAACTTGGAAAATGCGTGGCGATGTTACAAGATGGTCTTCTGTACTGTTATTTTAGCTGCAGAAAAATAAAACTCACTCGAAAAATACACCTTCATGGTAACAGTAACAGATAAGCATCTTGTCTGTTGTTGTCAGATAAGAGAGGACCTGACCGAACCTGTATGCGTTAACAGTGTCCCAAGATAGGTGAGGGGTTAGACTAATGGGCTGTAGGTCAGTCTCATACACTATGGCTCATGTTGTTGGAGCAAACTTGTTCATGGCTGTCGTAAATTGCTGTTGACCAGAGGGGGGCAGGAGGCAGCAGCACAGGAGAGAGGTGTGTAGCGCTGATGTTATGTGAAGGTTTCTCTCTCTACAGCGGTCATACTTGATAGTTTAACCCTCGTGGAAGCTGATAATATGCCGTATTTAACCAAGCTCTAAAAATCACCTCATCAAGAGTAAATTGTTAATATAATATCCAACATAATAACTGATGCACTATTTGTTAACTTCTAACTCCTGGAGCAGTTAGCATGACTCACTAAAGTATTATATAACAGATTAACTGTAGGTAAACGGAGTGTTGAATTAACCCCACAGTCATGATATCGTTAACTAAACAGACTTGGTGTAGATTACCAAACAGAGACTCTTAGTGTGTGTTGTGTTTTGGTTTGTCCTTAATGATATAATAGATGAATTTACTGTGACTTGCTGATCTGTTTAAACGTTCACACGATTTAACTTTCTTAGGAGTAGATTTAGCAGAAATTTACAATAAGTTTAGAATTATTTTTTTATTAATTTAAATACTTAAAGAACTTGGTTATTGTTTGCATTTTCTACACATAAACGTTACCAAAACGTTGGGGATTTTTCTCGGGCTTTTGGTCTGTTCTCCTTAATAACATCTCGGCTCTCTTGGCTAACAGTCAAACCACAACTATCAGACACTTTTCTGTGCAAGAGTGTCCCAGTTCTATGGTCGTGTTCATACAGGGGTTTATTATTATCTCAAGGGATCATTTCAGGAGTTCTAATATAGCACGATACTGTTTTAAGAACTTTGTGTGTGTAAAGAAGATATTTATAGTGAAGTGAAATATAAATGCCTTTTAACACACACACAAGTTGAAGACAGAGTACCAGAAGTGATCCCTTAACACAGTACACGAGAGAGCAAACGAATCACGTTGAACGACATATAGTCAGGCCTGGATTTGTTTGCTACTGTCTGTTGTTACTGATTAAGAGAGGATATTTTATGAATCTTTTCTTTGTTGTTATGTTGTGAGTGTTAGTAACGATGGTCTCCTCCTGCAGCCGGGGTGGCCGAGGAACATGACACGGTGCCCACCCCACCCCCTAGGTCTCGTCGTCCAGGCTCACGGACCTCCACTGTCTCAGAGTCCTCAGTGCTTGGTACGTCCTCCCTCACCTCTTACATTCTCTCATGCAGATTCCTTCTCCTGGAGGGTAACTTATCATAGGTTCCGACCCCCAAACGAGTGACATTTTCTCGTGTCCTTTTCTAGGAAGGAAAATTGTTTCAGGTCCTTTCTCTTACACCTCCCCCCCTTTTTACTTAAGACCCCAAGACATAGAAAGGAATGCTACTTTAGTCCCACCAAACCGAGAGAACAACCCCAAACTCAGCTCTAGTGAGGGGCAGCACATCAGTCCCCCTCCTTCCACACCAAGCTGGTGATGACACTACTGTTCACCCTCAGACCTGGCGAGGAGCAGCTGACACACTTTGGTCACTGCTGTAGCCCAAGTTTATCACCGTTTCCTTTCGTGATTGTCATTACGTATCAGATTTGTGTGTGTACAAAATTGTATTCCTCTCATGGTCTGTTGAGGTCGTAGTTCCCACCTACCTAGCCTACATCTACAGACTTACGACTTAAACTGATGTAAATAACAAAGTTTTCGTTATAAGAGTACTGAAAGTTGTTCTTTCTGATAACGTTTCTTGATTATTTATTTATATTAGATGTATATTTTTGATATTGTCATACTTTACACCATGTAGTGAACAGGTAGGCTTGGGTCACCTGTAGAAGCATTACTTGAAACAACCAGAGTCAACAACCTTTATCCTTTGATGGTGCTGCTGCTACCTGGCCATACTCACAACACTCCACTGAATGCCACACTTTCCTCCTGCTGTTCATTGTCCATTATCTAACTGCTGTGTTCTCTCCCACTTTATTGTATTGCTTCCCTTATATCTACCTTTCTATCCTTAACTTCTTCCTCCCTTTAATGACCTCCTTGGTAATACCAGATCTTCACTGACGTAACCAAACACCATTCTGCTCAATTGTGTTCTTCGCTCCAAGAAATTTGAAGTTTTTTTGACAGACCAGCACGTAACAGTATTCAACATATTAATATTCAGAGCCAGACAATCTTGTACTATTCAATATCTTTTTAAATTTTATTGTGAACTTGAACATTTTCCATATTTTCAGACATCAAACGTAGAAATTTGTAACCTTTCAACAGTCTACACAAATAAATATTTTGCTATCTGCGTCCCATCTCTCCCTTCCGCTGTGCCTTAGTAACATAACTTTTACGTTTAATCTCTCATCCCCCAGTAAAGTCCTTCTTCTGTTTATTGACGGAGTTAATGAACCATTTTCGTGTTCCCAGCAACCAATTGAAGCATGTAAGCCCTACCCTTCTTCCTCCTTCAGGAGTAGACGATGTGTCATCCTTCTGTACCCTGGGGGCGGAGGGTGGCATAGACGTAGCGCCCACCCCACCACCTAGGAGCCGCAGGTCTGGCTCTCGAGCCTCCATAGTAACGGAGTCTTCTGGCTTTGGTACGTCCCTCTACCCACACACCTACACCCACACTCCTCCACCCACACTCCTCCACCCACACTTCTCCACCCACACTCCTCCACCCACACTCCTCCACACACCTCCCACCCACACTCCACCCACCCCACACCCCTCCACCCCACCTCCACCTCACCCACACCCCCCTCCCACACTACACCCTCTACCCCACACCCCTCCCTCCACACCCTCCCACCCACACCTCCATTCACACTCCTCCACACCACACACTTCCTCCACACTCCTCCACTCCACTTCTCCACCCCTCCTCCACCCACTTCTCCACCACACTCCTCCACCCACACTTCTCCACCCACACTCCTCCACCACACACCTCCACCCACCCCTCCACACCCACCCCTCCACACTACACCCTCTACCCACCCCTCCCACTCCACCTCCACCCACACCCCTCCATTCACACTCTTCCCACCACACCCCTCCCACACTTCTCCACCCACACTCCTCCACCCACACCTCCACTCACCACACTCCTCTCCACACCCTCCACCCACACACCTCCCACCCCCCACCACACCCTCCACCACCCTACCCACACCTCACACCCCTCCACCCACACCTCCACCCCCACCCCTCCACCCACACCCCTCCATCTACCCACACCCCTCCACCCTCCACACCCCTCCACACCCTTCCACCCACACTCCATCCACACCCTCCATCCACCCACTCCACCCACACCCTCCATCCACACCCTCCACCTACACCCTCGACCTACACCCTTCCACCCACACAGCTCCATCCACACCTCCACCCACACCCCTCCATCCACACTCCTCCACCCACACTTCTCCACCCACACCTCCCCCACTCCACACCCACCTCCACTTCTCCACCCACACTCCTCCACCCACACCTCCACCCACCCTCCACCCACACCTCCCACCCACCACCCCTCCACCCACACCCCATTCCCACCTCCACCCACACCCTCCACCCAACCCACCCCACCCACCCACACCCCTCCATCCACACCCTCCACCCACACCCCTCCATCCACACCCCTCCACCCCCTCCATCCACACCCCACCACCCACCCCCACCCCTCCCCACCCACCTCACCTCCACCCACACCCCTCGACCTACACCCTTCCACACACAGCTCCATCCACCCTCCACCCACACCCCTCCATCCACACCCTCCACCCACACCCCTCCATCCATCACCCTCCATCCACCCCTCCACCCACCCCTCACACCCACCCACCTCCATCCACACCCCTCCACCCACACACCTCCTCCACCACACTCCTCCACCCACACTCACCACTTCTCCACCCACACTCCTCCACCACCCTCCACCCACCCCCCACCCACACACTCCTCCACCCACACCCCTCCACACCACACCCCTCCACCACACCCTCCCTCCACCCACACCCCTCCACCACCCTCCACACCCTCCACACCACACCCCCCACCCCACCCTCCACCTCCCACCTCCACACCACACACCCCCTCCACCCACACCCTCCACCCACACCTCCATCCACACCCTCCACCCACACCCTCCACCCACCCCCTCCACCCCCCCATCACCCACCCCCTCCATCCACACCCTCCATCCACACCCTCCACCCCACACCCTCCATCTACCCACACACCCCTCCACCTACACCCTCCACCCACACCCCTAGACTACACCCTTCCACACCTCCATCCACACCCTCCACCCACACCCTCCACCCACCACCCACACCCTCCAACACACCCTCCACCCACACTCCCTCCACCCCTCCACCCAACCCCTTCAACACCCACCCTCCATCTACCCCACACACCCCCCACCCCTCCACCTCGACCCCTCACCCTCCACCCACACAGCTCCACCCACACCTCCATCCACACTCTTCCACCCAAACACCTCCACCCACACAGCTCCACTCGCCCCTCCACCACACAGCTCCACTCACACCTCCATCCACACTCTTCCACCCAAACACCTCCACCCACACCCGTCTACCCACACAGCTCCACTCACACCTCCACCCACACTCCCCTCCACCCAAACACCTCCACCCACACCCCTCCACCCACACCCCACACCCTCCATCCACACTCTTCCACCCAAACACACCCACCCCCTCCACACCACACCCCTCCACCCAAACACCTCCACCCACACCACTCCACACCACACCCCTCCACCCACACCCCTCCACACACCGAACACCACACCGGCTTCATCAGTTAAGGCGGAGCACCAACCTAGCCTGGTGACCTGCCTATACTTTCAGGTCATCACTGTTGGATTTAGAAATATTTATATTTTTGGTGGTAGATAATTTTGTGGTGTGTATATCGATATATCTCTACTTCTCAACATGTCTGGTCATCTCTTTGAGGATATTTATATGCTCTTTTCTCAGCCCAAGAGAGATTTAGGTACTGGCAGAGGATAATATATTCATAACACAGTAATTTGACCAGAAAATCGTTGAAGAAATGTTTGCAAGACATTAAGTGGATTTTTTTTTTGTAAAACTATTTTTTTGTTTTCTATTGTAACATTGTATTAGCATTTAATTATTATTTTTTATAAGATATAAAAGTCAGATTTACCAACATAGGACTTTTGGGGTTAGGTTAGGTTAAGTTGGATTGGGTTAGCTTAGATTAGTAAAGATTGTGTCAGGTTTAGTCAGGTTAGGTTAAGTTAGATTAAATTTGGTCAGGTAATGTAAGGTTTGGTTAAGTTAGTTGAGGTTAGTTTACGTTAAGTTAGGTCTCATATTATCAAGTACTAACTGTTGTTGTCAGCAAGATGCAGCATTAGCTCTTCCCCTCAACACACTTCTGTCCACGCCGCATGACACCCAGTGTTGTCTCCTCCACCAAGCTACAGTGTGAACCCTCCCTTCTTCCTCCTCCAGGGGGTGATGATGTACCACTCTACTTTGCTTTGGGGGCGGAGGGTGGGTTGGCCCTGGCGCCCACCCCGCCACCCAGGAGCCGCCGCTCTGGCTCCAGGTCTTCCCTAGTCTCTGAGACGTCTGTACCTGGTACGTTCCGCATGTCTCCCGCCCACACGTGCTACACCCACTCTCAGACACATACACATGTTGCCCACACACACGCCACCCACCCACCCACCCACAAATACATGGCACCCACCTACCCTACACACTCACACACATATGCCAACAACCTACACACTTGCCACAACCACCTACACCTAACCCTGCCTCACACACACACACACACACACACACACACACACACACACACTTCATTTACTGTCATTCTTTCTTTCATTTGTTCTCTCGTAATAGAAAAATTGGTGCTATTATAGTAAGCGGTCTACTGAGCTGGAGTTGTGTCTACCGGGATATTTACACTGTAGTATCCATTAACCTAACCTAACCTACTGAAAGCTACCCTACCTTACTTTTATCCATACCCTACCTTACCCTATCCTACCCTACCCTATCCTATCCTACCCCACCCTACTAGAAAATACCTTACCTAATCTAATTTACTTAATCTAACCTTAACTTACCTTTCACATCCTACTCAACCTTAAAGTAGCCCACCTTACTCAAAATAAATTTACCTAAGTCCTAACCTAAGCTAGTCTAACTTAACTTTTCATTGTACCTAACCTAACCTAACCTAACCTAACCTTCCCTAACCTAACCTAACCTAACCTAACTTAACCTTCTAAGGTAAAATTCAGGTACTCAACTTCCATGATGCACCACATGTTTGGCTCTTCCCGGCCATTATTTTCACTGTGGTTTATACTCTGTTCTTTCATCCCAACACTGTGCATACTGACACACGTCCTTCCTCCCTTTCTTGGCTGATTGCCTCGAATGGGCCTTGAAACTTGGTGTGTATACAATTGTAAACAAATTTCCCTTGACATTTGTTTGCAATATCTGGCATTTATTTCTTGGTCATATTACGTGATTGGTCTATAGCTGGCGAACGTTGCTTTTTATTATAAATTATTTCTTAATATTTATATGAAAAAAATAAAGGCTCCATAATATAAAGTAAGTCTGAGTACAGTACAGTACAGAGATGTCAAAATCACAAATCGCTCTTAGTTGTGTGGCCCTCAAGTACATGATGCCAGGTATTGCTAAATCTGTTCTGGGATCATTGTCTATAGCCTGGCTCACACTAGTAAGTCATTTGCCCTTAAGTTATTTACATGCAAGTAAGTCATATACACTAGAAATTCACTTAAGTCCTTGCAAGTCACTTACATAGTATTAAGTAATTTACAGTGTGTCTTGATGCCGCAGTGTACAAACTTGCTGAAATGGGCCATTCACCCCCCCAACCTCCCTGCCACATGACCAGGTTGTTGTCCCTGTGTAAAAGACGAAGATCTAATTTCTGGTCTGCCCCCCCCCCCCTACTCTCAGTAACTCTTGTCCACGCCGCATGACACCCAGTGTTGTCTCCACCAAGCTACAGTGTGAACCCTCCCTTCTTCCTCCTCCAGGGGGTGATGATGTACCACTCTACTTTGCTTTGGGGGCGGAGGGTGGGTTGGCCCTGGCGCCCACCCCGCCACCCAGGAGCCGCCGCTCTGGCTCCAGGTCTTCCCTAGTTTCTGAGGCGTCTATACCTGGTACGTTCCACATGTCGCCCACCCACATGTGCCACCTACATACACGTGTCAACCACCACACCACAGCTACGGTCACCTAAGCTCACACACTTCCTAAGTCCAAGCACATTAGCCACCTGCTCTGTATATTCACCTTGACCTGCCATGCCCCCAGTAAGGTTGAGGATCATATTTTTACGTGATGTCTTTTGTAAGGAGCAGCACGAGATATGTTGTAGATTCTTGTTAATAACACCAGACCCTTGTTCCCTCTGTTCCTGCTGGTGGGGTGCACGTGCAGGTCTCGGCAGGTAGAGACCATCAGCAAATAAGATATTGTTTAGTGTTTTATCAACATTACAGATATATACCTGGTTATGAATCCAATACTGCTAGATGCAGGTCCCAGACAGTGGCTAATTGCCTGGAACTCTCATCTAACAAATGTGGATTCGGATTCACAGAGATTCGAACAATGAATCTTTTCCTCGTACATGTAACTGAAGCTGTATGAATCCAATAACATACATGCATACAAATTAAACTGAGATCACCTTAGATTATGTTCTCTTAGCACCAGACAAACTTTAGGTATTGAATATTAAAAAAAAAAGATTCTCTAACTTAATTCATTCTCATACCTGTTGCTAAGTTAACGTATCTAGCCAGAGTCTCTTTATAATTTAGGTATTTTTGTTATTTTATTTTTCTTCACCTTCAGTCAATTACTTATATGCCTCCTTAAATCATCACTTACAAGGATTATTCATCTTACGAACTTTTATGAATGCAGATCGTATATTCAATGTGATAGACGATAGTAATTGCATTCTTGTTGACCTGTGCACGTGTAGAGGGAGACCAAGCAACACTGTACGGTCTTATTATAACTATTTAGTGCCTGTTAGCGGACAACACTAATACTGTGTCGTGAGGAGATATGAGTAGACACAGTGCACCTTAGTGTCTCCCCGTCATCTCTCAGTTCCTAGGTAGTATCGTCAATGGTGGCTTCTGAATGTAAAGGTAATATTTTTTTTTCTAGTTTATAGTAGTAGTTGTAATTGTCTTTAAAAAAAATGGTTAGTGTTTGCAAGTATTGACCATAGATGGGTAATTGGGTATCTTTTACGTGCCCACCATATATAATAGGGTATCCTCCACATTCCCACCATACATAGGGGATCCTCCACATACCCACCATAAATAGGGGATCCTCCACATACCCACCATGAATAGGGTATCCTCCATGTGGGTCACTATAAATAATAGGGTATCCTCCACTCGCCCACAATAAATAATAGGGAATCCTTCACATGCCCACCATAAATAGAGTATCCTCCACGTGCCCACCAAAAATAGGGTATCCACTACGTGCCCATCATAAATAGGGTATACTCCACACGCCCACCATTATGGAATATCATGGGCATTCACATTGGTCACCTTGGGAGTGTTTTAGAGGGTGTGTGTAGTACAGGTGAGGAGGCTGGGGTGATAACCTCTATGTCTCGCCTCAGGGTGGAGTCCAACACCTGCACGACGTAAGAAACGACAGAAGACAGAAGGTAAACATTGTCTTAGTGTCCTTTACCGTCTTGTCACGCGTCACCTCGAGAACCTAACTTGACCCTTCCTGTCTTGAACCATGTTTTTATTTATTTATTTATTTTTTGTTTGCGGCTGATTAATGTGTACAGTTAATAGGGCCAGTTTTAGCTTATTTTCACAGTTAATGTCAAGCTAAGAGGTCCAGTTGGAGGTTAATTATTTTCATCTCAAATGGCCAGTTTTAGCTTATTTTCAGCTTATTAATATGAAGCTATGATGTGGAGCTAATTTACTAAGGGGTGGAATCTTCGTTCATTTTTAGCTAACTAATGTGTAAGCTGATAGGCCCAGACTGGTATAGCTTGGCCTCAGCGTTAACAAGATCACTTGATGGTTTAGCCTGAGCTAACAGTTAACAGGGTCCCTAACAGATGTATATGTCACGTCAGTTAATGTGTCTTTGTACCGGTATCTAACTGTTAACAAATCTCAGTGTTAACTTTCTCTAAGCCAGGGGAGGGGTTGGGTGGGGAGGGGTTGGGTGGGGAGGGGTTGGGTGGGGAGGGGTTGGGTGGGGAGGGGTGGTGGTGGGGGGTGGTTCTCATATCTGAAGATGTTAGAATGGATCTGTCAACATAAACTAAAGTACCGGAATAAGATAATAAGGAAATGACAACAAAATCACTCTATGACTCTTCTTGGACTATATTGTTTACTTTTAACCTTGTAACTGAGGTCTAGGGGCAGTTTGTAGCAAGGCAGCTGATTGGTTGACAGACGGACACGGGAAAAGTCATTACAGTTCTTTAGTATTTTAGGTTTTAGTTGTTCAGTTAACTACATTCTTACGTTTTCACTTACGAGGTGTGTTAATTGGACGGTTTTTTTGAGAATCTAGACACGTGTAATTTACCGTAATTTTGTTCTTTTTATTTTTTGTGTATATTTTTTTTTCATTTGTTTATGTCTGGTGTTATTATTATTGTTATTGTTGTTATTATTATTGTTATTATTATTGTTATTATTAATATTATTTTTATTATTATTTAGTCGTTGGTTATACATTGTTTTTAATTAGTTTTGTAATAAGTTTTTGTTATTCTTATGTTCATTAATATTATTATTTGTATTATTATTTCTGATAATGTTTTGTCAGATATATTTTGTTTGTTTTTGGAACCGTTCTCATCGTTATTGTTGTTGTTGTTGTTGTTATTGGCAGTTGTTGTTATTTCTTCTAGTGTATTAATCATTATTTCGTCTACAAATATTGTTTATATGTTTGTCAATCCTTATTCTATTCTTTTCAATTACAGTATTTTTGTTTTCGTCAGTCATATATTTTAGGGATAATTTTTACGATTTTTTTTATACAGTATTTGTTAGTTGTTATTATTACAGTAGTGATGAAGGCGGCGTGGGTCAGTGTGTTAATATCTCGTGCATGGTGTGTGGTGTTGTCCCAGGGGTCTTCTTTTATCACTAGAGTTAACAATCTTAGGGCAGTTTAAGTTAGGTTAGGTTAGGTTTTGTTTGGTGTGTTTTTTGCTACCTGAAAAATAAATGGTTTGAGGTTGAGTTCGTGGTAGTTATTAATATTGAACATTTTGCAGCACTCGGTGGGGTCTTTACTACTTTGTTGTGTGAGTAACCCCGGGCGGTGTTGGTGATCCCTGCCACTAGAGGCGCTGCTCACCACTTGCATGAGTTTGGTAATTTACAAGTTTTTGTCAGTAAACCCACATGTGCATGGATCAGGACGAAAGCCATTGTCAGCATCTGAGAACCTGAGACGGGGTAAGTAACTTTATTCTTCCTATGTAACGTCCGTCAGACAAGTGTACCAAACACCAGGTCTCTAGAAGGAGAAATTTTGTATAATCGCAATTTTTGTGGGTTTACTGATATAAAAATAGTGTATAACTAAAGAGGTGCGTATAATGTTCTGTTACCCTCGGGTTATGTGTTGTTGTTAACGGCTACAGTGAGTAGATTAACGGTGGTAACAGTTACTTGTTATTATTTCTTTTTATGAGTTCATGTATGAAAATGTAAGTGTTACGTGTCCAAAATATGTTGTGTAGTGCAGTGCTGAGACCCATCCTCTGTACTGTATACAAAAATGTATTAAACCATCGTTTTTTTAACTTCTATAGATAAATAAATAAACCACATCGTTCAGCTGTAGGTTTATTGCCTTAAAACACATTTGGGGTAACAGAACATTGTGGTGACCCTGTACAGTGTGTTTGATGACGTCACCATTACTTAGTAGAAGTTTATGATCATTAACTGTGTTGTTGTTACCAGAGGCTTGACGACAACCACACTTATGTCTTGTCACAGCTCATTAATGGAAGTTGTTTAATATAACTGACAGCAACATCTTGCATATTAAAATGGTGCTACTTTTTGGGCTTTACCTTAACATGGATATATTTATTGTTGTGTCGCTGTTAATGTTGTTGCCACAGACTCAGAACTAACTGTTAACGTGTCGCTCTTATGGCTAGTGACCCCTCACACCTCGCCTCACGTCCACTAACACATGTTGTCCTAATGCTGCAGCCGCCCCAGAGTCCATGGAGTTCGAGGAAGGTGTGGAGGACCTCCCCTCCCCGCCCCCTCGCAGTAGCCGCCGCCCCGGGTCCCAGACCTCCGAGGCGTCCCAGGCGTCCACGGTGACCTTGGAGACCCAGTGGGAGATCGAGGCCTCCCAACCCACCGCCTCGCGTGTCTCCGACGTGGCCGACATCGTCAGCGCCCAGGCAGCCCCAGATAGCACACCCTCGCCTACAACTACATCTGGCGGTGAGTACAGTAACCTCTTATATTGACTCAAGGATTCTATACTGTAGAAAGATGGCTCACTCCAATGGGCGAACTCGTTCACTGTGGCGCTGTCAAGCGGCTGCTAAGTATAAACAATAGTTGGTAGACAAAGATTAATGGGAGGGAGACGCACATATCAGTGAATGTATTCTTTTTTATTGTGTTGTGCGTGTTGCTCTACCATCTACAGTGGGACACACTCACTGTGCAGCTGTAAAGTGTTCCAACAGCTGTCTTATTTTCAAATTTCCAAAGGTTTCTGAGAGTGGAGTCGTAAAGCTTTATTTCTCAATGTTGACTTTTCATTAGTTTTACCAAGTACTGTAGGTGAGTACAGTACCAGCAGGGTGGCCGCTCACCTGGCGACGTGTGTGTGTCACCTGTTGGAGACACTGTTTATATATATATATATATATATATATATATATATATATATATATATATATATATATATATATATATATATATATATATATATATATATATATATATATATGTGTGTGTGTGTGTGTGTGTGTGCAACCGAATATTTGATATTAGGAATGACAGGAATTGTATAAGTAACGTCATGAATGGTGTCAGTGACGTCATGAATGGTAACAGTGAAATCATGAGTAATCTCTATGACGTCACAGCCCACGTCTTACACCTCATGGCGTCACAGCCGTCGCCACACACCTGCCTTCATCAAGCCTCGTCTTTTTCAGGTGTTTTTTATCACTTTATTATTACACTTCGTCGACCCTGCCAACATGGGACACACATATTCACTATATTTAACATAAGATTTTCTGTGTCTAGTGATTATTACTGTATTATTATTATTAGTAGTAGTAGTAGTTGTAGTAGTAGTAGTAGTAGTTGTAGTAGTTGTAGTAGTAGTAGTTGTAGTAGTAGTAGTGTAAACAGATCTCTTTCCTTAAAACTATAACAGATATTTAGACAGAACAAATCATTGGTTGATGCAGATGTTAAGTACAATCACACAACTGAGTGTACTGTATGTTATGAGAGTCGCTACACCTTCCTGCCTTAGTCTCTGTTAACAGTAACTTGCTATGGTTCCCTCACATAGGAAGAAAAAAAAAGATTGAGTTTCTTTTGGTATGCGACCTATGAGACGATGAGCCTTGGGTCCAGATCATTACCAAGATAAACTGAGTATATTGTTGTTAAAAGTGGTAGGGACCTTGTTGTGGATGAGGAACACCTTGGTAGAACAACAGGTGTGTGTGTGTGTGTGTGTGTGTGTGTGTGTGTGTGTGTGTGTGTGTGTGTGTGTGTGTGTGTGTGTGTGCGTGCGTGTTTGTGCGTGTGTGTTTATATTACCTATTGTCTGTCTTTCGTTGGAAGATGTTGACTCACCAAACCGCCCTTCAACCAGCTAATGGACACACACACACACACACACACACACACACACACACACACACACACACACACACCCCTACAACCTCCCCGTTCCTAGCTGACTGAGGGACGCCCCACAACCATCAGGGTAACACAGATAGCGGTGCCTGCCAGCTTCAGCCTCCCTCTTCCTTACCCCCATCCTGCCCCTGCTCCCCCTCCTTACCCCTTACCTTTGCCCCCATCCCTACCCCTCTCTCCCCTCCCACCATACTGCCCCCCCCCCTCCCACCCCTCTACTCCCTCCTTACCCCTTACTGCCCCCATCCTGCCCCCACTCCCCTCCTTGCCTTACTGCCCCCATCCACCCCTCTACTCCCCTCTGCCCTCCCTCCCACCTCTCCCCTCCTTGCTGCCCCCATCCCACCCCCCACTCCCCCTCCTTACCCCCTTACTGCCCCCATCCCACCCCCTCTACTCCCCCCTCCTGCCCCTTACTGCCCCATCCTACCCCTCCCCCTCTACCCCTCCCTACCCCCCCCCCTTACTGGCCCCATCCTACCCCTCTACTCCCCTCCTACCCCCCTACTGGCCCCATCCCTACCCCTCTACTCCCCTCCTTACCCCTTGTGCTCCCATCCACCCCTCTCCCCCCTCCTTACCCCTTACTCCCCTCCCCCACCCTCTACTCCCCCTCCTTACCCCTGCTCCCCCTCCCACCCCTCTACCCCCCTCCCTGTAAAAAAGTAAAATGTGGCTGCTAAGTTGGACAGGTGTAACACAGGTGACGTTGGAGCTCCCCCCCCCCAGTTTGCACCTGTCTCCTATATTAAGACCCACACATTGTATACAGTAGCGAAAACCACTGTAAATCCTGAGCCATTTTATACCAACCGGGAGGAGCTACTTGTAGATGGTGGTGTTGGGAGACCCCCCTGTGTGTGTGTGTCTTGACTACCCTTCTATAGTGGATAAGTGTGCAGGTCAACTTGGTCCCAGTCTTAGTCTTATTAGTGTCAGTCCTATTAGGTCTCCAGGGCTGATAGTCCAGAGTCTTATTAACCTGACCACCAGGACTTACCTCTCGCCCCTCACCACAGGACCCATGGGAAGATGTTGGACCTCTGAGAGATTATTTAAAGTCCTTGAATTGTAATGTTGATTTATGTCAAGGAAATAGTGAAGTAAACTACTGTATATAGAGAGTAGAGGGAGGGCGTGAGTTATGTGTGTGGGGTCATGGAGAGAATTTCCCGTTTTTCACAATTATAAATTACTAAGTCACACTATTTTAGCACATGACCCTCACTGTCTGCTGCATTACTTCCTCCTCCTCCTCCTCCTCCCTTGAGTTACCACCACCACCACCACCACCACCATCGTCACCACCACCACCACCATCGTCACCACCACCACCACCACCATCGTCACCACCACCATCGTCGCCGCCGCCGCCATCGCCGCCGCCGCCATCGTCGCCGCCGCCGTCGCCATCCTTCGTCGGTCTTTGTCAGCAAATTAGAATCACTTTTTTTTTCGTCAGTGGATGAGTCAAGAGGAACCCAACTTGTGGTAGTTCAGGGCAGGTGCTCATATAGCTGGCTGTCATGACTTTAAACAGCTGTAACAAGTGAGCATCGTAACACTATCTGTTCACAGTTCAAGGAGGACCTTCTTTACATAAGTTATTGTTGTCTGCAGGTGTACTGAGTCTGCCTTACCTTAGTAGTAGTACGTACTTGACCCCTTCACTATTTTAATTGGTTAATGCGAGACGATTTTATTCAGCTCAGGGTGACTGTCCCGTATGCGAGGAGTCAATAAACTATCTCCACTAACACTTCACTTGTTAACACAGGTACAGTACCTTTAAAACACAACAAACAACAACAACAGGATAACAAGATACAAAAATAAATGGTTTGTGTTGTTGGTACTACGAATGTATATAACCGGTCACTCGTACACTACATAATCCTTAATACCACCTGGTAGTTTTGGTCTAATTTACCTGTAAGTTGGTGTTATTATCGTTTGTCATCACTCAAGCAAATCAGCAAATGTAACAATTAATATATCACTAATTATTATCAATCTTGAAGTGTGGCGGACAAGAATTCTCACTGGGGTGTATAGATGTCAAGCGTGGTGGGTGGAGAGTTAAGCGCGGCTGCCTCAACACACTTAAATTCCTTGGTGTCCGATCCCTGTATCACTCTGCCCTTACTAACACTACATAGGAGAACTGACACTACAGATAGCCTTCATGTACCTACCTACCTACCTGTTCCTACCTGTTCCTACCTACCTGTTCCTACCTACCTGTTCCTACCTACCTGTTCCTACCTACCTGTTCCTACCTACCTACCTGTTCCTACCTACCTGTTTACCTACCTACCTACCTACCTACCTGTTCCTACCTACCTGTTCCTACCTACCTGTTCCTACCTACCTACCACCTACCTGTTCCTACCTACCTGTTCCTACCTGTTCCTACCTACCTGTTCCCACCCCTGTCTGTCCCCACCCACCCACCCAATCTTCCCCACCCACCCACCCCACCCACCCACCTGTTCCCACCCACCTGTTCCCACCCTGTTCCCACCCACCTGTTCCACCACCACCTGTTCCCCACCCACCTGTTCCTACCTACCCACCTGTTCCCACCTACCCACCCACCTGTTCCCCCCACCTCCCTGTTCACCCACCTACCTGTTCCTACCTAACCCACCTACCCACCTTACCTACCCTGTTCCTCCACCCACCTACCCTGTTCCCACCTGTTCCACCCACCTGTTCCCCTACCTACCTGTTCCTACTCACCTACCTACCCACCCACCCACCTACCTGTTCCTACCCACCTACCTACCTACCTGTTCCTACCTACCTGTTCCTACCTACCTGTTCCTACCTACCTACCTGTTCCTACCTACCTACCTACCTACCTGTTCCTACCTACCTGTTCCTGGGTCTTTATACAACCCTGTGAGTCTTATTTTTTTTATTTGTATATAAATTTTTTTTTGTGAACAAAAATTTTCAGTAATGTACGAAAATAGTCCTTCATAATTATAACCGAGCGTTAGGTTAGGTTAGGTTAGGTTAGGTTAGGTTTCGAGGTCAAGTGAAACTGAGGGGAGTTTGGTACCTGGATTGAGTGTAAGTGGAGGGTGAGGTGGGTTAAGGTGGAGGGTGAGGTGGCTTAAGGTGGAGGGTGAGGTGGCTTAAGGTGGAGGGTGAGGTGGCTTAAGGTGGAGGGTGAGGTGGCTTAAGGTGGAGGGTGAGGTGGCTTAAGGTGGAGGGTGAGGTGAGAGAATTATGTCAGTTGATCCTTGGGATTACTCACGAGGGGGAGATAAATATTTGTCCATTGAGGAGCATGTGTGGTGCTGCTGCCTGGCCGAGTGTGTGTTGAGACAGACAACCAGACATTAAACAGACAGACAGCCAAACAGACAGACAGCCAAACAGACAGACAGACCGACAGCCAGACAAACAGACAACCAGACAAACAGACAACCAGACAAACAGACCAGACAAACAGACAACCAGACAAACAGCCAGACAAACAGACAACCAGACAGCCAAACAGACAGACCGACAGCCAGACAAACAGACAACCAGACAGC